ATTTCCTCCATGCCTAATAAGGGCCATGCAGAAGCTGGGGGGCATTTGTGGCAACACATATTTCGACAGCCAATAAGAAGATGACACGTGAAAAAAAAGAATATTCCTTAGGTTAACTAATTATCCTAATTAAATCCTAGTTAATTAGGAAATTACCTTTGATTTAAGAGAGGAATATCTCCCTAAATCAAGGAACCAATTTCCCGCAAATCTCTTTGACTAATTCCTATCATCTTTTTGAGTAAGAATAATCCTAATTAAATAAGGATTATTCTTCAAACCTTAGCCAAGCAAGGAGTCTATAAATACATGGCTACATAACACGCATGAGGTAATTCCAAAACCCTAGCTGAATCCCTCTCTCTTTCTCTCTCTCTCTCTCTCTCTCTCTCTCTTCTCTCTTTCACAGCTCTGGCCACCCTCACATATGGCTCCAACTACATAGTTCTCTCGTATCGTAGAGAAAACTCCGACCTTTTCTGTTATTTTTGTATCTTTCTCAAGATCATCTAACTAACTTAGGCATCAGAGGGCCTTTGGCCAACACCCCCCGAGTGTGGTCTATTTATTCCAACCTTTTTCACAAGAATCGAGGAATAAGAGAGAGAGAAGGAAGTTCGAAGGGTGAAGAATCTCTCGTAAATATTCTCCCATGAAAATTTTGCTCAAACATGGGTGTGAAGGTCAAATCCCTTGCCAATTCATTGAACACGAGCCCCTAAACTAAAATCACTACTACAAAAATTGAAATAGACGACGGGGAAACACCGTCGTCTTTTTCTTTTTCAAACCGTCGTTAAATCGACAGTCGTCTTTTTGAAAGTCAAACTACGACGGTAATTAACCGTCGTCTATTATATGTAAAAACGACGGTTTTTAAAAGAACCGTCGTCTATTAAATGTAAAGACGACGGTTCTATAAAAAAAATTGTCGTCTATTACATGTAAAGACGACACTTTTCTAAAAAACCGTCGTCTATTGAATGTAAAGACGACGTTTTTTGGAAAACCGTCGTTATATATGGTAAAAACGACGGTATTTTGTTAAATACCGTCGTTGATTGTATATAAAGAAGACATTATTTTGTTTAAAATCGTCGTCGTTTTTATGTACAGACGACGGTAAAACCACCGTTTATTTTCTTTAAATATGTCGTCTAATAAGTTTCCAAGCTTTTACATTGTAGTTTTTTGTTTTCTATGATTCCATACAACAATTTCCACTAGGAAACCGATTATAATGATTCAAAAATTATTTCTTTAATAAAACTTGAAGATTCAATAATCATTACATAGTCAATCAATCTTTATTCTATTACATACTTCCTACCTATAATTAGAAATAAAGGAGCTACATGTGGCTCACAAATTCCACTAATTTGATATGAACTTCATCAATTTATTCTTCGGTGTATGAGTTAGCTCTGCCTTCTTGCACATTTTCCAAGTTGTTCTATTCCCCTCCCCTGTAGCAATATCAGCAACAACAGGTCCCTTCTACAAGACTTGCAAAATTCACATCAAACTCCACAAACACAAATCTTACCAAATATATTTCATTAATTCTAATCACTGCCATTAATGTAGATAAAAACAAGTTCTAAATGACCAAATTGTCTACCTTCTCCAAAGATGTGCATGGTCCAATGAACCTCTGAGTTTTGATACCCTTTGAACATTTGATCACAAGTGTACCACTGACAATTAATTTTCTGTAATGAGATTGACATATATAATTAGAGGTTAAAGAGAATTCATCAATGGAATAAGTCTAAGCATAATAAACAGGAGTTGAAAAGGGTCCAAGGATTTATACATGATGCAAAACATATAAAATAGAATTCCTACTCTTGACAAGTCTGGAGGCTCTCTGAAAATAAAGCAAATTAAAATGCAAAAATCGTTACACAACACAAGTACTAGAAAATGAACAAGAACAGGGGATTTTAGAAAGCAGGGGGGCTTAGCTCACTTACTTGCCAAGAAGCCTGAGTAAGTTGCTTGAAAGGAACAACGAAGCAACAATAAACATGCCCACGTATTAAATCAGAGTGAGGAAGTTGAATTGGTAGACTTGGAGTAAAACCCATGTT